TAAAGCCCTTTTTTTCTTGCAAAGAAAACTTCAAGGGCTACCTCCAGTTTACAATAAAATTTATTGGCCACGTAAAAGAAGCAACGTGTCACGTTTAATGCCACGATTAAATCTATTCTCGCGTGTTACCTACAAAGAATTATTTTTCATTCCCAACCCTTCCGACCCTTACTACCCTCTAAAAATTCGTTATAATTATTTTTAATATACTTTTTATATGATTATCAATCTACCGTTCAAAATGATATCCCTTTTCTTCAAATATTTTCATTTAACGATTGAAAAATTAATTTCATGGCTAATCATCATTTCTACTTTGTGTAACGTGTACACCAAAAAAATAAATATTATTACACTATTAAAGTATCCGAAGACAACTTCAACGATTCCCATTTTACTCGAATATGATTTATCTGTTTATTATAAAAGAGAATAAAAGAAAAAGAAGAATCAAAGATACATATTTTGTTTCGAATCTCGTATTATATTAATTTTATCTTTGCACAGTCTCGTACGATGTTGAAAACGAGTAATTCCCCCCAGCCCTCTGCCCTCTGCCACCCTGCTTCTCCCCGACTGATTTCCAACACTCTTCTTTCCCTTGTCGTTTAATTTCATTTCGTTCAAGAACATTTCTACGTACCGTATATGTTAATTTGTATTTCTGCTAATAAATTATACGTATTAATGACTATTAACTTTATCAGCACGAACGTTTGATGTGTGGGGAGTCAGGGGGACAGGGAGGGGGAGGAATGGGGTGAGAGAGGGTTATAAGTACTTTAAAGAAGATTCCCCCTTTCGTAAAATACTCCCCCTTACACACACACACACACACAGAGCCTGGTTGTCCCGGTTTTATGTCCGCGTCCGATATATCGTTATTATTTCCCCTTTAATAGTATTTTCCCCGTCTGTTAGACGGTTTTATGCTCAACTAGAACGTCGTGTGCCAGACGGAGTCCCCCCTTGAACCTCCCCCCCCCCACCCCCACCCCTTTAACCCCCCCTGTCTCCGACCATTCGTTCGTCCTGAAGTCTTGATTTTAAATAACAGTCATTATGACGTAGCTATAACTCTCTTCGGAACCGGATACAGAGAAATTATGCGAATGGTAGCGGATGGGTAACTCCTTCGTGTGTATTTACGTTATTTCCCCCCTCCCCTCCCCCTTCTTCACCATTAGTATTTAAACGTAAAACTTCCATGTATTATTTTAACTATGGAATCATTACATTTTGAAATATATTTTTTAAAGATATTTTTAAGAAAACATCTTTGTAAATGTATATATTTTTATTGTAATATATTATTTTATTAATATTTTATTTTTATATAAATGTATTAGTTTTTTCAATATATGTTTTTTTTTCGTTTAAACCTAAATAATATAAATATATATTGAATTTTTCAAAAGGTTCAATTAATTTAATTCATTTAGGTATACATATGTTAATTATAGTAAAACGTGATAGAAGAAATATTATTTTTAATTATAGTAAACGTGCTTGAGAAAAATAGTAAAAAAAGGGGGTCTTAGTCTTTTTATTTTTCTTGTATTTTTTTCTTGTAAGGTCGCGTTTAGAATTTGAAAAGTTCAACGACACGATAAGATATTGTCTGTTTATTTTTTTCTTTTCTTTTTTTTTGTATGGAAGCAACCAGGGGGTAGGAAGGAAGGAAGGAAGTTTGTCATGAAATCTATTTTAATGTGAACGTTAAATTTTGACGCCTGTCTATGAATACCTTTTACAACGTGTTCCGTTTTATAACGGGTTACGTTTACGATGCTATAATACTCATACGACTTAGGGAACTAGTCTAGCATTGATCTATTTCTACGACTATGTCGTCTAAATCTTCTTTTTTTGTTTTTATTTAGTTTTTTTTTTCAAATTCAATAAAAATCAATTCACAAAGAAATAAACAACTGTTTCTAATTGAATAAAAATCAATTTAAATTTTATATACAAAACATATTT